GTGCCCATTTAAGTTCAGGGTTCTTAGACTGGAAGAACTAACTCCCTGTTAATGCTTCTTGAAAAGCAGCAGAGGATGCTAACTACTTAGGTCTCTGCCATCCATGTGGGAGACCAGGAGGGAGTTCCTGCATCCTGGCTTCAACCTGGGTCAGCCCCAGCTGTTGTGAGCATTTGAAGACTGAACCAGCAGTTTCTCCACATCTCTAGCTCTCTCTCTCTTTCACTCACTCACACACACACACATTCTTTCTCCTTTCAAATCTCCTTCTATCTCTCTCTCTCTTTGTCACTCTGCCTTTAAAATAAATAAACAAATCTTTTAAAAATATTAAAAAACTAAAATTTTCTTTCTGTATTTTGTCAACTTAAGATACATTTCTTGTTATGGGATTTATTATTTTTAAAATTTTGTTTTAGTTTTTAATTAGTTTTTAACAGATCCAATTTGATTTTTAGATACAATTCTAAGAACATAATGGTATTCCTCTCCTCTCTCCTTCTCACTCCACCCTCTCCTTTCACCCTCCTTCCTTCTCCCTTTTTTTTTTTAGTTTTTGAGATAACATATTTTAAATTTACATTATAGTGAAAAGACTTAATCCTTCACCAAATAAGAAGCTTAAAAATGAAAAAGCAATAAGATCCTAAATTTAATAAAAAAGAAAGAAATGTCCATGTGTATCAGTATTACTGCAAATTTAGTTTTGTAAAACTTTGTTTTATACCTTTGTCAAACCAATGGTTAAAAATGTTATACTACTATAGTTTTAATGATTTGTGATTACTTTAAAATTTATTGTAGATGGCTGAAATGATCATTTCTCCGAATTATCTATATTCCCACTAAAAAATAGCACCATCTATTTTTTTTCTATTTTTTAACAAGATTTATTTATCTATTTGAAAGGCAGAGTTACAAAGGGGCAGAGGCAGAGAGATAGATGTCCTCCATCCCCTGGTTCACTCCCCAAATGGCTGCTCACCAGAGCTGAGCCCATCAGAAGCCCAGAGCCAGGAGTTTCCTCCAGGTCTCCCATGCGGGTGCAGGGGCCCAAGCACTTGGGCCATCTTGCACTGCTTTTCCAGGCCATAAGCAGAGAGCTGGAGTGGAAATGAAGCAGCCACGACTCGAACCAGCACTATATGGGATGCTGGAACTGCAGGCAGCAGCTTTACCTGCTAGGCCACAGAGCACCATTTCTTAAAATATGTCCTAAGATATGGTAGCTTAGGTTTGGTGCTGTGGCCTAACAGGTTAAGCCTCCACCTGTGATGCTAGCATCCCAAATTGGTCTGTTTGGAGACCCAGCTACTCTGCTTGTGATCCAGGTTCCTGCTAATGCTCTTGGGAAAGCAGAAGAAGATGGTCCAAGTGCTTGGGCCCCTGCTCCCATATTGGAGACCCAGAAGAAACTCCGGGTGCCTGGCTTCAGCCTGGCCCAGCTCCAGCAGTTGCAGGCATTTGGGGAGTGAGCCAGCAGATGGAAGACATCTTATACTCTTACTCTCTTTTCTCCTCTCTCTCTCACTCTCTCATTCTTCTCTCTCACTCTCTAATTCTGCCTTTAAAATAAACAGAAAACCTTTATTTAAAAGATAATAGCTGGGGGCCAGCACACTAGGTTATTCCTCTGTCTGCTGTGCCAGCATCCCATTTGGGCACCAGTTCTAGTCCCGGCTGCTCCTCTTCCAATCCAGCTCTCTGCTATGGCCTGGGAAAGAAGTAGAAGATGGCCCAAGTGCTTGGGCCCCTGCACCCACAAGGGAGACCAGGAAGAAGCACCTGGCTCTTGGCTTCGGATTGGCGCAGCTCTGGCCGTTGCGGCCATTTGGGGAGTGAACCAAAGGAAGGAAGACCTTTCTCTCTGTCTCTTTCTCACTGTCTGTAATTCTACCTGTCAAATAAATAAATTAAAATCTTTAAAAAAAAGATAATAGCTGTTGTTAACAGATGATACATACATAATAGTTTCCCTGGATAAACACGTTGATTATATGCCATATTACATAGAATACAATGGGTTTCTTTCGTTCAGAGCTCGTTTTTTAAATTTTATTTATTTATTTATAGATAAAGAGACAGAGAGAAAGGTCTTCCTTCCGTTGGTTCACCCCCCAAATATCTACCACGGCCAGCACTGCACTGATCCGAAGCCAGGAGCCAGGTGCTTCTCCTGGTCTCCAATGCGGGTGCAGGACCCAAGCACTTGGGCCATCTTCCACTGCACTCCCGGGCCACAGCAGAGAGCTGGACTGGAAGAGGAGCAACCGGGACAGAATCCAGCGCCCATATGGGCTGCTGGCGCCGCAGGCAGAGGATTAACCAAGTGAGCCATGGCGCTGGCCCCAGAGCTCTTTTAAAAATATATATATATATGTATTCTATTTATTCGAAAGAGTTACAGACAGAGGTAGAGACAGAGAGAGAGGTCTTTTATCCCTTGATTCACTCCCCAGATGATCACAACAGCCAGAGCTGCACCAATCCGAAGCCAGGAGCCAGGAGCTTCATCCGGGTCTCCCACATAGGTGCAGGGGTCCAAAGACTTGGGCCATCTTTCGCTGCTTTCCTAGGCCATAGCAGAGAGTTGGATCAGAAGAGGAGCAGCTGGGACCAGAACTGGCAGCCACATGGGATGTCTGTGCTTCAGGCCAGGGCTTCAACCCGCTGCACCACAGCGCCAGCCCCATGGTTCAGTGCTCTTAAGAAACTAACCAATGTGCTTTGGGAATTTTCTTGAATGACACATATCTTGGGTTCCTTTTTTCAGGGACCATCTTGCGAGCCTGGAACTTTGTTTTCTTTGTTACTGAATCCAGTACTTAGCATGAAGCATGACAGTGAGAGGCACCCAGAAAATACTGCTAGAACAAAGTGATTTCCTAATGACCTGCCAGGGGGTCAACCCTTTCTGGAGAAATGAAAGAATGGACTTCCCACCTCTGTGCTGTGTGCTGCTGACTGTGCTGAGCCGTTCCATTTTTCTCTTTAATGATAACAGTGCAAGGGGGCATCTGTTCATATTCTGCTTTGCCCTGGTTTACTTTCTGCCTTCTCCATTCTACCCTCTTTCCCCAGCAACCTTCCAGGTTTCTCCCTTATCTTTGTGGAGGCTCTAACTGTAGCTGCATCAGCCAGAAGCCAGGGTTGATGCCCCAGTGGTGGAATGTGAGTCAGGGCTCAGCAGAACAAGAGGGAGGCTGCAGGAGCTGTGTGGGGGTCAGGAGGCTGCCGCTGAGCGCTGCTAGGCCAAACAGAAAGCTTCCCTTTAACTTGCACTTTGTTTGACCTGTGGATAAACAAAGGCTCTCTTTCTAGAGTGATCCCATTGTTTTAACTGCTTTGAGTTTCTTTTGCAAACTTAAAAATTCAAGTCTTTATGCAAGGTATTTAAAGCCCTGTGGACCCAGTCCCAACATTTTGTTGTCATTGTTCTTTTTCTGTGTCTCATTTTACATTTTTTTGTTCTTAAATGCTGAAAAACTTTGAGCTATCTGAAATTCTGCCTTTTCTTCAACAATGCATGACCTTATAACAGCTATGAGGTTGTAGTGTGAGTAGAATATTGAGAATTGTAGAGAAGTTGACGAATGGCACCCCTTGAGGAAAAAACTCGAGAGCATATGAGTCTCATCTTTCATTCGACATTCAGCAATTCTGTGGACCGTGGAATACTGAGAAACTCTGAGAATAAGGAGTCTTTCCATCCTTGTCCTGAAAGAGATTGGAATACAGGGAGGAAAAGAGTATTTACAGCATGCCTACTGTGTCCCAGGCCATACAGCTACTCGTATATGTCTGTATGTTTATAGATTTACAGTAGCATTTTCCTTATTTTACTGGTGAGGAAATTGAGAGTTCAAGAAGCTGGATAACTTCTGAGATTCACTTATTTAAACTAAATTCTCCTCAAGATGGGATGGCGATGTTAAGGTTCAGAGAAATTAAGTAATTTTAGCGATTTGATTTACACTAAATTCTTCTGGTGACAGGATAACTAGGTATAGTATTGGGAAGATAAAATCAATAAAGAATTCCATAGAGCACCTTCATAAGTTGGTGAGTTTTAAGAAAACATGCCTTATGATTTCTTCAGTATCTTTATATACATTTGACATTGGACTTATTATATCTCTCACAGGCCTCACTTGTTCAACATAAAGTCCTCTTTGCCTTTATCACCAGTTTTGCATAAAGGAGTAAACTGTATAATTTAGGTGAATGTGAAACTCAGTGAATAGAAGTTACGTAGTCACAAATGGAGTTCTGCAGAAGAATGCTTCTGATGTATTTGGGCTGCATGTGGTCTACCTCTTTTTTAAAATTTCTGTTTCTAATGAATTTAGGCTCAATTTGCAAGGCAGGTGAAAAGTAACCCAGTGTAAAATGATCCGTAATCTAGAAAAATACTTCTAATTATTTCAAAGAAGGGTGTGTGTGTGCAGAGATATATTAATAATCACTTAATAATATTAAATGGATTTGGATTTTTCAAGTACTAGGAGGTTTGGTTTCTACCTTGGAGGGGTTGGAAGAACACAAATAATATATTTCTCCTCCTCTCATTTATCCTACTCATCCAAGGTGTTCTACCAGAGAGTAATCATATTTTGAAATTCAACCTTTGAACATTAGAATTTATTTTTATTTTTAAATTCAACACAAATACTCTAATCTAGAGAAAATTGATAGTATCACACAGATTTTAAAGTCAAACATGAAAACTTACAAATTAATTTTTTCCATATTATCAAAATGCATGTTTTCTTATATAGGCCAAATCCACTATGGGTTAACCAGTAACTAGCTTCTTTGGCATATTTGATTTGAGGAAAGTAGAGATTTTGATTCCTAAATATTGGCCTTCATATTTCAAAGACTTATAAAAATATGAGTCATTTTTTGAGGTGTGTTAAGTCAGTGTCATTTTATGGGAGGCCATCGATAATTCGTTGCCAAATTATGTGTCTTTAAAATCATGTTTTGTTTCTCTCTAGTGGATGATACTGTGGTTGCCATTCCCTATGGAAGTAGACATATTCGCCTTGTCTTAAAAGGACCTGATCACTTGTGTAAGTAAATGCAGTTGTTTTTCTTTAGGGACTGGGAATTTTAGTCATTATTATTTATTTTTTGTTCCCAGAAGAGATTAAAACACAGGAGTACAAATCTTTCTACTCTATCATAATATGACATCACGAGTGCTTCTGTTTATCTTTTGGCTGCCTGATGAGATGGCAGAAATCTCATTGGTAATTATCTCTAACCACAGTCATCCTGAAAAATACAAAATAGATCCTCCCAATGGGTTGTTCGTGAGTTAAGCACGTGTTTATGCTTTTGTAAATATTATATCTCATATTCTCTTTTCTCCCTTTCCACTCAATCTCAATCTTTTTCTTGCGTTGCCTCTCCTATTTGCTTTCTCTTTCTAACTCTCTCTCCTCCTTTATTCATTTGCTTTTTCTTTCCACTATTATGTTCCATTACTTTAACAGTACAGAAAAACATAGAAATACCAAATAAACAACCTAACACCTTGGCATTTAAAGAAAACCCTCATAGTAATGGTTAAGTATGTCATGTATTAAAGACAATTCAATATCCTCACTTCTTAGGGATAGTTTTTGTGATTCAGGATTGAAAGATAATCATGGGCAGTCATTGTGGCACCTATGACACCGGCATCCCATATGGATAGAGGTTCAAGTCCCCAGTGTTCCGCTTTTGATCCAGCTCCCTGCTAATACGCTTGGAAAGCAGTGGAAGATGATCCATGTGCTTGGACCCCTGCACCTACATGGGAGACCTGGATGAAGCTTCTGGCTCCTGGCTTTGGCCTGGCCCAGTGTGGGCCACTATGGCCATTTGGGGAGTGAACCAGCAGTTAGAAGATCGATTTCTGTCTCTCTGTCTCTCTCTCCCTGTCTCTCTCTCCCTGTTCCTCTCTCTCTGTCTTTCTCTCTGTAGCTCTGCCTTTCAAATAAATAAAATATATCTGAAAAAAAATACAAGTAATCATAACTCCAAAGATCCATTTGTAGTGTGGTCCCACCAGGTTTGTGCAGAATTGATCTTCAGTCATACCAAGGCATCAGTACCCAATTGCATAATTTTTATTACTGTTTAGCATTGTTTAGATGTAGACCTGTAAATTATAAGTGGAAAAATTGTAGATTATGAACAAAAGGGAGAGTTAAAGGAGATATGCTGGCATTTTCTGTAAAACTCAGTTGCAGTTGCTCCCTTAAGCATTTCTGATCTCCTCCATGCTAATTTTTCCTCCATTTCTACAAAGTCATCTATCATCTTCTGCTCTTTCTTCCATCCCACATACATGCTTATGGAACCAATGTAGATAGCAAGCATTTTGCCAATTGCATCATGACTAAAATCATGCTAGAAAGACAAATCAGAGTCTACAAAAGTTAATGGATCCTATTGTATTCTTTCTAAAGATAGCAATAAATACATTTCATGAAAGAAATGGAATTTGAAAGGTTATTTGAAATAAGGGAGTAAGCAAAGGACAGTTTAGACAAGACCCCCCAAGAATGCTAGTAAGTTACCTTATGTGGATCGAAGTTCTTTTCTAATCCTGAGCAACTCCCTCAAATAGTGTTCCCATGTCAAAAGATAATGTGTGCACTCTTACCATTCATACAACTTATTATTGACCTTGAAAACTGAACAGACCTAACTACTGCTGTAATAACCACATTCAAAAATGGTACTTTTGTGAGCACTGACAGATTGAAAGAAAATATCTAGGCCAAATTCATTGCCAGGTAGAAGACTGACTCCTTCTTGCAGAAGGAAGATTTAAGAAGAAAGTGTATTTTTACAAGTATATTCATCTCCCAGATTTCTTAATTATGTGATCACTAAGATGCTGAAAAAAATGGCTTTGTTTAGTTTAATTGTCCAGGGATTTTAAATGATATTCATAAATCATGCTGCTTACAGAATCCTGCACACATCATATGTATAGCTGGGTATTTTTTGTTTTGTTTTGATTTTTGTATTTGGAATGATTCAGCAAAATGAATATGAAATCAAGTGATGCCCTGTTTCTCCATCAACTCTTTTGCCCTATACTCTCAGAAGCTGGTCCAGTAGTGGGATCCAAACTAAAACAAGACGAGGCGATCCGGTCCAGCCCCAGCTCACTTTTGACCAAAATACCTGGAGAAGGACAGCTAGGAGATGCCAATAAAATTGAATCAGATGCTCTGAGATCAGGCCTCGACCTCCAGGGTTTTTCTGAAATTCAGTTAATTCACGAACTTGGATGTATTTCTGAAACTGCATATAAGACAGCTTGAGAAACAAAGGCTGAAGGAAGGAAATTCAGTGTTGTTGCTTTCCTCTAGTGACAATGCCTGTGATTTCCCCACACCCATGTTTTCTTGGTATGGCCTGTGTTGTGTAGCGCTCTCCATGCACTGATCCAGGGGAGTAAAGCTTGCCTATTCTACAAGAAGCTCCAACTAGGAGTCACTGGGCACATAATGGAACACTAGTATTTTCCAGCTTGCTATTCTTTTTAGGGAAGAACTAGAAGTAGAACACATGAAGAATAATTTACTAGGAATACTTTAGGTACTTATTATCTTTAGAGAACTTATAAAATATATGAAAAGTGTTATTTTTATTGAAGCTGGGGTAAGAGACTCTGGAGCCCCACCTAAGCACTCTATTTGTCTGCTGCAGTCACTGCCAAACGAAGGATTCTTGTGTAAATTTTGGAAACCGTTACTTAGTCCATTTATCTTCCTTCACACGGCAGACAGTTCTTCTAAATCACCTATCAATCACTTGAGAACTTAGTCTTCTCTGGAGCACACATCATAATTATCATCATCCCCAACATCCTCTGACTTCCTGTTCAAACACAAGAATGCTCCGGGCATCAAGTCCCTCTTTCTTACTCACTTAGAAAATATCATATATGTGCACACAACTGAATTAAATATCAAAAACAATCTTGAAATGAGTCATAACTGTAAAGGATAGCCTCTATCCTTAAGTTACTCTGATTTCTTCATTTTGAGCAGCAAAGCAATCAGAAAGTTGATGCATGAATAGAAAGTCACGCAGGAAGAAGCAACTCAGAAGTGTACCCTGGATCTCACAGAGCAAAAGAGAAGCTGGGAAGTATCCTAGACTGAGGGCCATCAACACTGAAGTCAATAAGACATATATTGATAATGGTTAGGTTAAAGAAATTGGACAGTAGTATAGTAGGATACCTGAAAGAGGATATCCAGAGATTCAAAGATTTTGTGACATGGTACCTTAAATGCTTGGCTGATGAGTTTTTAAATCATTTTATTTGCAGTATGGAATCCCATGTGATCCAGCATTGGCTTTATATTTTGTTTATATCACAATTTGGTCAGCCACAGAATACCAATAATTGTCCCTTATGTAGCTTTATATTTTATTGGATGTAGTGCACCTGTATGTGGTCTGTGGTAGCCCTGGGAACATCTTTCTCTTCTCTTCATATGTTTGATTATGTAGATCTGGAAACCAAAACCCTCCAGGGGACTAAAGGTGAAAACAGTCTCAGCTCTACAGGCACCTTTCTTGTGGACAATTCTAGTGTGGACTTCCAGAAATTTCCAGACAAAGAGATACTGAGAATGGCTGGACCACTCACAGCAGATTTCATTGTCAAGGTGAGCCCATTTAGGTATCTTATTTTCAAATCATGTCCAAACTGATGTTACTTATAGTCTCCTAAAGAGGGAGAGAGACTTTATCATTGAGCTATGCTATTGGGAAGCCTGTTTATTATCTAGGAAATATTTAATTCAAGGATGTTGAGCTAGCTACATCCTGGACTTCACAAGGTCACATGATACTTTTAAGGTGACCAGAAAATATACACATTATTAATAAAATGACACCTACCTAAGAAACCAAACTATCATTGGTAAGGAGATATAATTTATCTTGAAAACAATTAAGATATAGCAGTTGACTCATAAAGGGCATCCTCAGTAAGTGAGTAAGTGAAAAATGCTAGCTGATGATCCATAGACTTGGTCAATTAATCATGCTTCCAATGGCAAGTTCTGCTTTCTCTTGCATTGGCAACCAGACTAAGTTGTTTCCTTCTATTAGAGCTTCCCTGCTCTTCAAGGTAATATAAAACATATTGCTGGAAGCAACATGCACATTCTGTTGGAAAAATGCACACACTAAAAGAACATTTGGGAATCACAATAAAATAAAACATATTTTTTCTTTCAGTAGGTCAGGAGGACCTGAAGGATTTCAGCTGTAAAGCTGTAAAACTTGTAATGTGTCCAGGACTCCATAAATTTTTCATCATGGGAGTTGGAGCCAGAGGACATTTGATTTAAGCTAAGGCTTGATGACCCCATGGCAGCTGGAAGTAAGAATGTATATAGGAAAATGTGATGGGCAGTGAGGTTGGATGGAAGAAGGGTTCCAGAACACTGTCCTCTATCTCCATTGGCAAAGTAGCTCTTTTTAATCCAGTGCAGATGCCAGCTGCATGAATGTGAACAAGAAGCTGCAAACCATCAGAGATAGCTCATAATAGAAATTATACTGTAGATAAATAGTTTCCATTAAGCAAGCAAATTCAGTAAAGGAGCAAGAGGTAAGCTCTATTCTTTGAGCACTTGGAGTATTTTGAACAGATTACTTATACCATAGCAATTTCAATAGTGGACTTGCAAGAGTTAATATACATACTGAAAATATAAAATTGGATTCAAGTTATATTATTCACATTTGAATAGTTCAGAGTATTGTCAACTGCATTTCAACCATCCAGTTGCCTTCTGCACATCACCACGTGTGTATCCCATAGGCATAATGAGATCAACATTTCCAAAATTGAACTTATCTAGTCCAGAAACCTCTTTATCTTCTTTACGTCTTGTCTTATAGGTTAGTATACTATGCACTCAGTCAAGTTAAAGACCTTTGACTCACCCTGATTTCTCTTCCTGTGTGTGTCACCAGTCACAATTAAACTTTTTCAGTACTACCTCCATATCATCTCTCAAGAATTTTCTTTCTTCTCCATCCTTGCTGCTTCTGTCTTAGTTTATGCCTTTGCATTTTTAAACCTGAACAAGTTATCACAGACTGCAGATTAGTTTTCCAGTTTCTGATCCATTATCTGTGTTGCCCTCAAAATAAATTTTACAAAAGCATGATTTCTTTTTGTTATCTTCCAGTTCCTCACCTCCACTCATTGTTTTCAGGTTAAAATGAAAATCAATGTCCTAGCATGTTTCTCTTGATAATCTGGATTCTGTCTACCTTTACAATTTCATCTTTAACTATTCCCCTGTTTTAACCAACTGAACGAATGCAGGCCCTCCAATATCTTATACCCTCATAACTCATGACTTTTATGTAATTCTGTGCTCACTATTCAGAATGCTCTTCCACACTCTTCTCTAACTCCTGCTTCTTCTTCAGGATGTTCTCCTTCTGGAAGCAATCTGTCACTCCACCCCAGGTCCCTGTATATATTACCTCTTCCCATTGTGTTACCCCAGGACAAGGATTAAATTGTCTCTGTCTTCGGATCTCCCTAAGTAGAACCTAATAAGTACCAACCATTGTTGCATGAAAAAAGTATGTTTACTGCACAGCAATCATGTAAGTGGAACAAATGCCGATATCTCCTTTTAACCCACAAGGAAATTTGTTCCAATTTTAGTATATGTGCTGCCGAAGTGAGCACGCCCACAAGGAAATTTGTCTTCAGGGCATTTGAGTGACTTGCCCAAGTTCACATCAGTGGCAAGCCAGAACTAAAAAAAAATCACATCTCTTTATTTCTGGCCCAAAACTCACTTATTCTTTGTTGTTTCCAAGAGTATATATTTTTTCTTCTCAGGTTTCATTAGAAAGCCTCAGAATCAAATAAACGTAAAGTTATTCTAAGATAGAATGTGAAGCTTGTAAAATTAGTTTATGCAAACTTGAAAATGAGCCAGAAATTTAAGAAGATATAGAAAAAAAGAAGAAAATTTCTGCCTTCATGTGATTCATACTGGAAATTTTTTCTTTCCTAATTTTTCCCAAAGAAATAACTGAAAACCAAAGTTTTATTATTTGAGTATTATCATTTTCCATTATTTAGGTGTTAAAATTATGCATAAAGTATGTAATTCAGCTTTTAGCATCATTCAAAGCATAGTCTCTTTTGCACAACATATATGTTTACTAATAAGTATACTCACTAATCAGATCCTCTTTGTGAATTTAAAAGGCGGTGGATCCAGATCTGAAACCAATCTCACATTACTACATTTTATTAAAACCACTGAAATCTTTCTTCAAATTCAATGAACAGTGTCATGCTTGAGATGGGGAAAATACCTTAAATGATCTGGCTGTGCAGCCTAGTGACTCAGAAAGTAGACAAAACCAGACGTGCAGCCAAGAGCTATCTTTATAGACTAGAGAGAATGTGAGCAGCGCTGATTCTCCACGGCAAGCTGTGTGCCAGCTGTCTAAAGGAGGAAGGCTTGGCAGAATCTTATCTTTGAGATGTGTACATCTCAAAACTGTGATAGAAGCAAGTTCTCTACTCTTTTTTAAATTTATTTTTAATTAAAGATTGTACATATTCGTTTTATATAACATGATGTTTTGAAATAAGAATGTATTGTGCGGCTGGTGCTGTGGTGTAGCAGGTAGAGCCGCCGCCTCCAGTGCCAGCAACCCACATGGGCACTGGTGCGAGACCTGGCAGCTCCACTTTTGATCTAGCTCTCTGCTATGACCTGGAAAAGCAGTGGAAGATGGCTCAAGTCCTTGGGCCCCTACACCCGCATCGAAGACCTGGAAGAAGCTCCTGGCTCTTGGCTTCAGATCAGCCCAGTTCCAGCCATTGCAGCCATTTGGGGAGGGAACTAGCAGATGGAAGACATCTCTCTCTCTCTCTGCCTTTCAAATAAATAAAAAATAAATATTTTTTAAAAAAGAATACTTTGTGATATGCCTAAAGAAAGTAGGTTAATACATGCATTACCTCATAGTATTTCTTTCTGTGATGAGAACACTTTAACAGCTACCAGCAATTTTCAAAAATATGATACTCTGTTATCAACTATAGCCACCATATTGTACAATAGCCCTCAAGAACTTATTCCTCTGTTTTATATCCTTTGATCAACACCTCCCCAACACCCCAGATCCCAAACCCCTAACCCCTGTTGCCAGACCCTATAACCACCATTCTACTCTCTACTTTCAGGAGTATGGTTTCTTTTAGATCCCATTTGTCTTGTTGTGCCTGACTTAGTTTACTTAACAATGAAATGTTCAGCTATGTTGCAAATGACAGGATTGTCTTCTTTTTGTAAGGCTGAATAATATTCCAGTATAAAGGCATAGATCACATCACATTTTTTATCCACTTACTCATTGATGAACACTTACATTGATTCTGTACCTTATCTATTGTAAATAATTCTATGTTGAGCATGAAAGTGTACATATCACTTTGATTTCATTCCCTTTGGATATACATGTAGGAGTGGGATGGCTGGAGTATATTTTAGCCTATTTTAAATACTTTGAGCAACCTCATAATGGCTTTACCAATTGACGTTCTCACCCATAGTGTGCTAGACTTCCCTTTTCTGCACATCCTCACCAATGCTTGTTATCGTTTGTTGTTTTGATAAAAGCCATTCTAGTCTATGTGAGGTGATACTTGCAGCTTTCATTTTTCTTCCGTTTCCCTGATAATTAGTGATGTTGGATGGTTTTAAATGTACTGTTGGTCCTTTGTCATTTTTGAGAAATGTCTATTTGGGATTCTTCCCATTGTTAATAGGGTTATTTGTTTTCCTGCTATTGAGTTGAGTTCCTTTACATATTTTGAGTGTTAATGCCTTATTAGATGTATGCTTTGTAAGTGTTTTGTCCCATTCTGTAAGTTGTCTCTTCCCTCTGTTGATTATTTCTTTTGCTACAAGAAGCTTTTGGTTTGACATAATTTCATCTGTTTTTGCGTTTGTTTCCTTTGCTTCTGGGGTCTTATCCCAAAAAAAAAAAAAAAAAAAAAAAAAATCATAGTGCTAACCAATATCATGAAGATTTTCCTGATTATCTTTTCCTAGTCGTTTTTTAGTATCAGAGTCTTACGTTTAAACCTTTAAGTCATTTTCAGCTGATTTTTGTGTATGGTGTGGGGTGATTGTCCAGATTCATTCTTCTGCGTATAACATTCTGTTCCCAGCACCTCTAATTGAAGAGACTGTCTTCTCCCCAGTGCATGCTCTTGGCACCTTTGTTGAAATAAGTTGATTCCAAATACATGGATAATTTCTAGGCTCTCTAGTCCTTGTTTTGTGTGTCTGGTTTTTACTGGTATCAAGCTGTTTTCATTACTATAGTTTTATAGAAGATTATGAAATTGATTGTGTGCTATCTCTAGTTTAGTTCTTTTTTGCTAAGATTGCTTTGGCTATTTGAGGAATTTTGTCATTCCATACAAATCTTAGGATTGGTTTTTCTATTTCTGTGAAAGCCTTTGGAATTTTGCTAGGCATTGCATTGACTTTTTAGGTTACTTTGGATAACCTATTTTAACTATATTCTTCCAATCCATGAACATGTGATATCTTTCCCAATATTTGTGTCTTTGAATTTTTCATCATGTTTTATATTTATA